TGGATAGAATTGTTCGCTGCTTCGTACAGGTAGACTGTCGTGCACTACTTGCATGATTTGCGCAGGTAGATTGTAGTGCACTAACTAATCTCCTACCTTAGGTCGTAGGAGATTGCACTTGTCGTATTCTTCATGCATTTTGTTGTGGTATTTGATCTCATGTAGTATATCCTCCACTGCTATAGATAGGTAGGTAGATGTCTTCATTTTCGTACTGAAATTGACTTCAGGATGCTGCATTTACTGAAGTCTTTCTGCATCTACCCATCAGTGGTATGTGGCACATACATCTGTCTTCGTAGAGAGATCGTATGTGTTGCAGATCTTTTGTCAATTTGCTTGCAAAACATATGTCGAATGTACAACAGGTCTCTAACAATGTCATTGAACTTTTCTGCTTGTAGGAAACTGATCGTGTCTTTTCTTAGAATTTGATCATTGTTGATGATGGAAACGTCTTTAGATTCCTTCATCTCTACCTCTTGATGAATTCATCGAGTGTGGATTGTATTCGTCTCGTGTCAACCCATATTATCTGCAGATAGATGAAGGGGCTCATCTATGAACTGAGGTTAACCGCTGAATAAGTTACATCCATTGTTGATGCCCTCCCCACGCATTCATCAATTATCTATCATGTTCAATATGTTTTCCCCTTCAGCATGCGTATGCAACTACTGTTTTACTCATGTGTTCATCATTGTTGACTAGGTAGAAGCCATAACATTCACTGCATGAAGTTTATATAATCTGACCCATGGATAATTTGAGAGTCTTGTGGCACTAGCAATCATCATTACAATAATGTTCATTGAAGAAGCTTTGAATAAACTTTGGAAATCAAGTTGAATTTGTTGTTCATGAGTGACAAGTTAGGGATTTTGCATCCCCTAAGTCCTTGCTTGCTTGCATGATATTTATTTGGATGAATTTAAATGACCAAATAGCAATCATAATATTCAATCGAAGGTTCTCACAAGCAATTCATTTGATCCTTATTTGAATAATAATGATTGCAATTATTATTCAATGCTTGTTCTAAAGTCATCATATGATGGCTTTATGATCAAAACATACCTCCAAAATCTTGTGCTCCTTATAAACAAGCTACATTAATCATTTCTTCGTTCTCAAAAATTCATTGCAATTTGTATGATGAATGTAGC